TTTTAGTAGAGACGGGGTTTCACCATGTTGACCAGGATGGTCTCGATCTCTTGACCTCGTGATCCACCCGCCTCGGCCTCCCAAAGTGCTGGGATTACAGGCTTGAGCCACCGTGCCCGGCCCAGTTTCATCACTTTGTACTCTTCTTTCACCTTGCAGGTGATGAGGATCCAGGAAAGCCAAGCCATGCCATGTTAAAGAATGGCCATACCAACCCCATAGGGAGTGCCAGATCATCTAGTCCAGTCCAAGTAGAGGAAGAGCCAGTAAGATTAACAAGTCTTAGGAAACCTATTCCAGAAGAGGAATTAAAGAAACGACTAGGTAAGAAACTCTGGATTTTTTAGTTTAAGAGCCATGGACTGTTATTCTCCTTTACATAAGGGGTTTGCAAGAGAACAGAGAAAAGTAAAATCCAGAGAGAATTACATTCTCCTTTAGCAATACTTTAGCAACTTCAAGGGGAATTTCCTCTCCCGCCCTTTTATTCACAAAATACCTAAATTTGTGATCCTCAAGAAGGGAAGAGGATGTTAAGTATCAGATACCTATAGGATTTTTTCCAGCTACACATTCCACTTCTTTCACCCAAGGAATTTTGTTGTGCCTCTCCTCCAGCAGCCTGGCTCTTATGTGAAGAATCACTACCACAATGAGCATCTCTTACTGAGCCTTTCTTACTGACATTTTTTAAGTATGGGGAGATTGGGAGGCATTGAGAACTGTAACCTGTAATATAATCTATAAATTAAATAATTGTTGGTATTGACCATAAATTCATAGATGTGTTAGCTTTTTCAGTCTCTCTTATTACTCTCTCTTCCCTTTTTATATGTGTTATTACACAGGCTCAACTGGAAGCCAGCCTAACTCTGAAGCAGAGTCTATTCCTGAGAATGTACCCAAACAGCCTTTACTTCCTCCCAAAAGACCCTTGTCCGCTTCTCATGAAGCAAATGAAGGGCAAGCAAAGGATTCCACTTCCTCTGGCAGCCTGGCAAGGTTCATCATCTCTACTTCCATCACCACAGCACCCGCTGCCACCACTGCTGCCACAAGCCTTGCAAAGACTGTTAATCTGTCTGCCACGCCTTCCCCAGCACCAAGGACTCTGCCTGCTGCTCCTGCCAGCACTAACACTACTGCTACCCCAAGCCTCACTCATACGATCCCTGCCAAGCAGCCCCCTATCCCTCCCCCTAAACCAGCTCACAGAAATAGCAACCCTGTCATTGGTAAGTAAGTCTTTAGGCTTCTGGTGTTTTGGGTTTGGTTTGATGTTGGATGGTTATTTTATTGGGTAACTGGTACAATATTGATTTGGTCTGTGAGAATTTTCCATTTCTTCTCCCTTTGAATGACCTCAACATAGAGAAAAGTCTTAGGTTTAAAAAAGCAGGCCAGGGCCGGGCGCGGTGGCTCAAGCCTGTAATCCCAGCACTTTGGGAGGCCGAGGCGGGTGGATCACGAGGTCAAGAGATCAAGGCCATCCTGGTCAACATGGTGAAACCCCGTCTCTAC